CCCCAAAACCCCAAAACCCCAAAACCCCAAAACCCCTTGGTGATCAATATTAATTGAGACTAATATATTGGAGGCATCATATAATTCTCTAATAAAAATCTTAAAATATTTTAAATAATTGACCAATGGATCCAACAGAAATGCTCAAATGTTCAAATCACACTGAAAACAGACTAAAATGGACCAAAGCGATGATGAAATGGAATTCATTGAAGAACCAAATGAAGAAACTAAAGATTCTGGCAGTATTAAAGATGAGAGACAAATTAAACCAGAAGAGCAATTGCCTTCATATGTTCCTCCCAAATATGAGAAGACTCCGAGGATGTGTCAGGAGTGAAGCTCTACAAACAAGAATTTACCCCCTGATAACGAAGAAGAGAAGAAGAACTATGATCTCTATCTGCCCTACTTTTTCTGTCCTTGCAAAGATGTGCTCGTATGAACTCTATGAGCAATGGAGAACCACCAAGATCATTCTGTGATCTCTCTGAAGATGGTAATAGGATACTGTGACAGTTTGTTTAACGAGAGTAGATCCTTTGTCACTGATCCCAATGTATACAAGATCATACCTGAAGACCTTATGACAAAATATTCGGATCTAGAGAATCAATACGCATATGTTGAGCGTAAATTTTTGAATTTTCATAACATAATGATACTGAAGAGATACATCGAAAATGTAACCAAAGAAGTGACAAATCTTTGAACTCAGTACATCCAAGATTGCCCTCAGAACCTTACAGAAAATAGTTATAAATCTGTAGCTAAAATTGAAGACGAAATGCAGCCATGCAAGAAACTCACTGCTGATGGAGAGGAGCTTAATATTGTTATCTCAGAAAAGAAAGAAGTACTAGACTGAGAGTTCTCTGTGCTAGAAGTAGACCCAAGTCAAGAGAAAGATAGAATCATAATGGAAGATCTTAGAGGATACAAATTAGTAAAAGTGAGTAAGCTAATAATGATCTATGACAAAAATCACTTAGAAGACATCCACAAATTTTTCAACTCAATCCACCACGTCTCAGAATTCATCCTAAAATCCCGCAATCCCAGCTCTCCAATCCCTCTGGACCCCTCTACGCTCCCTATAGTCACCAAAATCTACTCCTGCACTTACGAACACTATGAAATCACAGGTATCACCCTATCCGAGGCCGACATGACCTCTCTGGGGCACGCCTTCCACAAAAACCGCAACAACCTCACCATAAACTTCACTCACTGCTCTCTCACCTCCACTCTCCTCGCCCACTACTTCTCCCCCCTCCTCACCACCCCTCGCATCCTCTTCCTCCAATACCTCTCCCTCCCCCACAACAACATCTCCAACACCGGCGTCTCCATCCTCGCCCTCACCCTCCCCTACCTCGAATACCTCAACGTCCTCAACCTCGCCCACAACCAAATCTCCGACTCAGGCGCAAAATCCCTCTCCAAAACCTTCAAGTACCTTCCTCGTGCAGTACAAATCCTTCTGAGTAATAATAAGGTGACTAAGAAAGGCCTGAAGGCCTTTCTTGAGCACTTTCATTACTTGAGGAGTCTGGCGAGGTTCGACTTGAGTGGGAATTTGTTGGGGGAGGAAGGGGTGTGAATGGCGGTGAGGAGGCTGGCGGGGGTGAAGAAGGAGTTTGTGTTTGTGGTGAAGGAGAATGGGGTGAGGGAGATGGAGAGGGTGAGGGAGGTGATAGAGGAGGAGGAGATGAGGAGTGTGAGGGTGAGGGGGAGTTGTGTGGTGGTTGAGTAGGAAGGTAATTTTTTTAAGCGTTTTAAGGGGTTTTAAGGGGGTTAGGGGTGTTTGGAAGGAGGGGGTTTTGACGGAAAATTGTGGTGGAGGTAAGATTGGGTGTAGAATTTTTATATATTGAACCTTATTCACAATAGGAACATACTTTAAAGCTATGAAATTGATTTTTTAAATCCACCAAAAATTTTATTAAACCCATCAATTTTATCAAAAATCAAAAATTCTAATAATTTTCCTTTCCCATAAAAATCTGGAAAAATTATCTTACCACATCAAAAGCCTCTTTATGAAAACTCGTGTTAGATCCCAGAGAAAATTCTCAAGAAGAAACCAAGTCTCAGATCCTTACCTTGACCCTAAGATTTTCCTTCAAGAAGATGCTCTAGCCGCTGAGAAGCTGATCCATACCGATCATGTCAATAAATCCCAACTCAAGAGCCTCAAAACTCAGAATAAAGTGAATAATAAGGAGAAAACTCATCAATTCAAGAAAAGATTTGGACACTTTTCACGTCTGGTAGAACTCAAAACTCCAATCCCTATCCATCCGAATAATACATTTGAAATAAATGAAGACGGTGAAGAAAGTATCGAGATCAGTATTAGGCAAGAGAAACTTAAGAAAGCAAGCTTGAGGGTCCTAGCTAGAGGTAAGTTCCTCAGACCTCTTAACAAAATTTCAAAAAGCCTTAATAAGGATACCAGTATTGAACTTTGTAACACAGCATTTAGTAGACCAAATGAGCCTGAGAGACCAAAGAACTCGGAGCCTCAGAAGCCTCTTGCTTCTCTTAAATCTCTGCTTTCTGATCAATTCAAAGACCAATCAATGCATTCTGAACTTGAAAGGGATAACTCCTTCGATCATTTCATGGAGAAAGAGGAATGTTTGACACCCTTTGCTTTCCATCGAGAGATGTTCCCCGACTGCTTTAATGTGCCTCATCCAAACTTGCAGTGGATGATCCCTCAGTCTGATCATGAACATGAAGACTTCCAGCTAGAGGCTCCTTCTGATTCAGGATCAGAGGTGTATTGTTCTCCAGAACATTCATTTTTATTAGAGAATCCTTTAAATTCAGTTCAACCAGAGTTAAACCTAAGGGGTTTTGGGGTTTTGGGGTTTTGGGG